CAAAAGAATTATAAATATAGTATATTTGTTTAATTTAAATTTTGTATTATATTATTATATATTAAATTAACTTTTCTAGCTTTAGCTATTTAATATTGTTATATAACAAACTTTAATTGAATATTTTATTGGATTATTCATATTTAATATTATTGAATTATAAATATCTTATATCTTATTGGAAGAATTTAATTATATGAAATAAGCAAATAAATAAGTGAGTAAATAAACAAACAAGTAAATGAACAAGTAAATGAGCAAATAAATAAGTAAATATTGAACCAATAGAATTTAAGTGAACTAGTAAACATAAATTTATATAGCTAACAGATTATAATTTGAACATGTATAAAAGCAAACATGTATTATAATTATTAAAATTAGATTAGAATATAATATTCTTAATTATTATTTTATAACTAGTTAGCATATAGTTTTAATTATTTATACAAGCAAAATTTGTATTTATCATAGAGTAGGTAGTCAAGTGCAAATTTCTCTTTATACTTCTTTAACAAAATATTCTTGTTCTTATATAATCACTTCAGCATATTTATTATAAGTATTATATAGATCTTGAATCAATATTATAGTAACTTAAACACATTTGCCAAGAGCACTATAAAAGTTATCAACTTAATACTAAATTATCTGAACACATTTGTGATAAAACCTATTGAATATTATATTAAATAAAGAAATTATTATAATTTAAATCTGTCTTTGAAATTATATTGCTAATAATACATTATAATCAAATCTCTTTATAGTCATATTTATTTATAATTGCACCTCTTTATAGTCACCTTATTTTGCTTTTTTATTTATATATAAATATAGTAAAAAAATTTCTCTATAATCACATTCTCTTTATAATTATCAAATTTTGCTTTCCTAAGAGTGATGACTATAGAGAGATTTGACTGTATTCATAAACTCATTTTTGAAAATATTTATTGTTAACTCATATTAAGATTATCTTTAACAAAACAAGGTATTGAAGTAAAAAATGAAATCTTTGAATTCTTTTATATAATATTTTCAATATTATTCCAAAAAGATACTTTATTATATTCTGAAATAATTATTTTCTTATTATTTGATCTAAAATATTATCTCTGGCAATAATTTCTTGAACTTTTTCTTTGAACTTTTTCCTATATGAATGATAATATGAAATCTCTTTTTATTTAGCTTGTATAGTATTCTTTTCTTTAATATTTACTTTAAAAAATAAATAAGCAAGCTCAATTTCTTTTGTCATATCAGTTATAAGCTTTTGATTTCTATTAATAACTTGAATATTATATTCATTTATCAATTCTGAAGATATTTCTTGTATAAAATCTTGAATTATTATATAATTATGAAAAATTTTTGTATTATTGAATAATATAGTTTTAAGCTTTTGATTTTTATTAATAACTTGAACATTATATTCATCTATCAATTCTGAAGATATTTCTTGTATAAAATCTTGGATTACTATATAATTATAAAAAACTTTTGTATTCTTGAATAATACTTGAGCTTCTCTTACTTTACAAACATTCAATTTGGTTGATAATTGTGAACTATAATCAAATTTCTTTATAGTCACACCTGTTTATAGTCACACCTCTCTATAGTCACCCTATTTTGCTTTTACATTTACATTTACATATAAACATAGTAAAAAAATCCCTTTATAGTTACATTCTCTTTATAATTATCAAATTTTGCTTTTCTGAGAATGATGACTATAAAGGGATTTGATTATACTTATATTGGTTTCAGTTTCTGTAAAATCTTCTAGGAGCATGAAGAAATTATTCTGGAAAATTGAGGGTTTGTCCTGATCTTGACTAGTGCTCCAACCGGGTCGGATCCAATTCGTGACCCGATCCCGAACGCACATTTCGGATCGGGTCGGATTGGGGTCAAACCCGACCTGAAATATTTCGAATCAGCCTAAAAAACGTTATTTCTCGTTCAATATTAATTGGAATTAAACAAAAATTTGTGGTTATATACACAATTACATTCCGAACTTCTCTACTTAGACACAAAATACAAGTGTCTTAGTAAAAATAAAAGTCATTAACCAAAAACTATTTTATGATTTTCGGATCAAACCCGATCCGAATCGACCCGACCCGAAATTATCGGTTCGGATTGACCTCAAACCCGATCCGACCCGACCCGAACAGAGCTTTAGTCTGTTATTATGCGTTAGAAAAAAGTAATCATTGAAAATTAGCGTAAATAAAGTTAAAAATTGCTAAATCGAAACTTGCAAATAAATCTATCGATATGTTCCAATCTATTTTGTAGTTCATTGCGTTGACAATAATTATGTTCGCAAAACAATAAGAGTTTTGGGTAAAATACGAACAGTCAGTTTCACATACCATATGTCTCCCCATCCCATTTTCAAGACTAAAATCGTCACTTATACTCCAAAATCGTCTAATGTGTTTATCTTTGTAAAGTTTTTGCTGTTATATTTAAGAATAAACATATTATTCTATTATAAACCTATTAAATTGTTATCATATTATTCTATTACAAAACTATTTACTATCTGTATATTTAGCTGAATCTGCCAATAAATACCAAGTTTATTTACAAAATAACCATGTGTCCCACTTTTTACTATATGGTGAGATGCGCTAAAAAAAACATTGCGAGTCCAATGATCTGTTCGAGAAACAAGCCAATAAGAATGCGTAAATTTTGATCAACCGGGAAAATCAAATTCAAAGTGCAAATGAAAAAAATGAATCAATCAATTTAGGATGCAATATCTCGACCTTCAGTGATCCGATTCGAACAAAAATACTACTATTCGATTCGCCTTGATTAGATGAATCGAATGATATTATTTTTTTGTTTGAATCGGAACACTGGAGATCGAGATATCACGTCCTAATTGGCTGATTAATTTGTGTTAATACCAAAAAAAAAAATGAATCTGCTACTTTAAGCTGTAATATTTCGAGGGCCAGTGATCAGATTCAAACAAAAATAATACCATTTGATTCACCTCGACTGGGCGAATCGAATGGTTGTATGTTTGATTAAATCGGATCACTGAACGTGAAGAATTAGATTATTGAATATTGAGATATGTGTTATGAAATAATTGATTGTATTTGGGACGTGAAAGTTATGAATATGCAATATCCGATATAGAAGCTCTGAAAATCTATAAATGTACAAGCGATCAGGTGTCGTATTACATTTTACGCCCAGAAAATTTGGGTGATCGTTATAGTATGATTTTGGGTAATGCCGGGCGGTCGGATACTTATGGTCCCTACTGTAACTTAATGTATTTATCAGGAGTTCCGTATATTGACTTTTCTTTCTCATTTGTAACAAACGTGTACCAATTTTGAATGCTACCGCTAGAGATAACCCAAAACAATACACCGAGGCTGTAAATATCTGACTTTTTGTTGCGTTTAGAGTTTCGCATATCTTTCAAGAATGCGAAATCAATATAGCTTAATACACCGCACTCTGACATTGAATCTGAAATTGCGCTTGCAAGTTTTGAATAGCCTAAATCCGCAATTTTAATCTTCCCTTTGTGGATGAGGATATTATTATGATTCTAAAAGATTTCATCGCAGTACAACTTTTTATTAATCATTCGTGCTATACCTTACCAAATCTCGATGAATTATTTTCATTATGTATACTTTTTAATCCTTGTGCAAGTTGATTGGCTAAATTTAATTTGTCATTACCAGTTAAGTTGGAAAAATTTCTTTTTAAGTAATTTTCGAGAGTTCCGCCATCGGCATACTTCATAACAAAAACAAATAAAAGATTTATAAAAGAGGTATTTATCATATACTGTATAGAAAAATAAATTAACTAAACACTTACAAATTCACAATAATTTCTTAGTTAAAATACTTAACAAAAATATAATTCGTTTTTACGGAATCACTAAAAGTAAATGTATGCGTAGTTGTAGCTTCGTATATTATAAATTTCTAAAATAATTTTTAAATTAGAATTAGACACACAGGAATACATGATTCACTTTTGCTCTGTAAACTTCACCAAACGCCCCATTTCCAATAATTTCTTTATCGTAAATTTGCTAAAATCAAAAAACTTTATTTGCTTTTCTTTTATCGAGGTTTCTATCCATTCGTTTGAAAAGGATAACGATAATGTCATTTTTCATGTGTATTTTTGGACATAACGATATTCTTATATTGTGTATTTTAAAGAAAAAAAAATGTATATCTTCCTCATTTGCCTCAACTCAGAATGGAACCCAGTACGAACCCGCCAATCTCCTGAAATGAACAAATTCAACTTATTCGAATGATATTGATACTATTGAAAATGTGACAACTAAACTGTTCAGATTTAAGATAATATTAATTAATCTGATTTATCCGTTATATAAAACTATTTATTAACGATATCACATCGTTACTATCGTCACATAATCCATGTGCGTATATTGAAAATTTGAGATTGGTCGTGTTTGTTATAAAAATTATAGCGATAGTACCCTCCCCTGTAGAAAATTAAACTTTATACATGTAATTTAGTCCGATTTTTTTTTAGTAAAACCCATTGTTTTTTTTCTGCCAGATTAATATTTCAAGATTCACGGCGCAGTTTCTTCGAAATTCTTATTACTAAAAAAGAATAGCTTTGAGGTTAAATTAAATGGCACATTTTTACAGGGGAGGATACTGTACGCAGCGCTATACGGTAATACGTAGTAAAGTTGGCTTTGCAAGAAAAGTTTTTTTCAAGTATTTTCATAATATTTTGAAATAAGGACGTTTTTTATGAAACCAAATTACGTATACCGTTACAGATATACACATAATATATCGATATGTGTAGTTTTATTAGTCTTTTATGTTTCTAAATAATGACATTTCCTAAAAGTGTATACGTGTGTAATAAAACAACTAGGGCATTTTTTTACCGATGGGATTTGAAAGCAATCGATAAGTAAAATAAAAAATACCAATGCAGGATTACTCATTTTTCCCCTTTTGCGCACAAAATCGACAATATTCCATAGTTATTTGATATTGTTTAAACTCTGCGCGTACTTTATCGAGTAGCAGATCGTATTCGTGCCAAGTGAGACTCATAAATTCCGTAGTTTGTTTTTTCATAGCTCGGTGTAAATTGATAAAAGTATCTATAGACTAAACGTAAATTAATTGACTAGCTAATCAATTCAAGATTGAATAAATTAATGAATGCTAATAAATGGTTACCAATTCACCACATTTTCCATCAGCAGAACCACAAGTAACTGTTTGTTTTTCCATTTTTATATTTACAAATATCCCCGAATTAGATAAAATTTTTGGAATTACATTTACTACCCACAGATTTAAACCTTTTGAGTTTGCTGCCGACAAGACTAATGAAAAAACAAAAATTATTAATAAATATAAAATTATTAGTCGTCAATTTGAACAACTCACAAGCGTGCATCAATTTTTTTGTATTTTCTCCTTGATTTTCCAAAGTTACATTACACTCCATCCACTCAAGCAATGCTTCAGGTTTCATAACGCGAGCAACTTCTTGAATGACTATCGACTTCCATTGCTTTATTGTGAAACACCTATCCAAAAAATGCATGACCACGAAATCAAATTTGCTGGTTTCAATTGGCAGACCGTCAAGAATATTGGCTTGTATAAATTCAACATTTACTGGTAGTTCTCTTAAAAGATCAACTGGAGAAATATCAACACCTATGAATGAACATAATGGATATGTTTCGGCCATTTCGATTACCCATGTTCCTGGGCCACATCTAAAATAATTATTCATGGTAGAAGTCATTATTATTACAAGGCAAAAAGTCTTGATAGATGTTTACCCAACATCCAATATTTTTAATCCTCCAGCTTTTAATTGTTCTCCGATCAACGAAGAGAAATTCCCTTGCCGTATAAGTTTTTCTACGATTTGTTGGCGTTCGTTTCGTGTTGCTTCACTTTCGGCAACTAAGAATACATAAAGATACGAAAACTCAAATACGTTGGACTTGGCAGATATTTATTAGTACACACACTTACTATAAGCATCTTTTTTGGAATCTGGTTTTGATTGTTTTGATTGTCGGTTTCCCATTTTTTTGAATATGTATAAAATAACACGTAGTGATTCTGTTCACTTTATATCTACGCTAAATTATATAATGTTCATTATTTCTGGTAATGTTGTATACATACGTATGTGTACGTATTTACTTTTATTGTCTCCCCAGTTACAGAAAAATTTGAGCATATCAGAAAATTGTCATTACTGTATTGGTTCTATCAAAAGGTGGTTTTATGCAATTGTCGGTATTTTATTACAAAAAAAAAAAAACAGATTTCCTTTTTTGATATAACCCAAATGACATTGAAATGATCTATTGTACATGTATTATCGTTATAAATTCGAGTAACAAATAACAAAAATAGAATGACATTTACAAAATGGCATAACAGATTGTCGTATTTTTGCACCATATACATGTACGTACGTACGTAGCGACTATTTTTTTTCACCTCAGTGACTGAAAATTTGGTTAGCGTTGGATTCATCGTGAACTAACAAAAACATACAAGTATGCACGACAGTACGTATCGTTATGCAATTTTTTGCTTTAACAAGAAATATGCATCAGAACGCTTCAAGAATTAAGATTCGATTGAATAGTTTGATAAAGTCATTAGAATCATTTGTTGTTAGTTTATATAGAATACTTCTAAATACGTAATAAGTATGTTTTTTCTAAAAATTTTGTAAAATTGTAATTTTATCCTTCTACATGAAAAACAAAAATTCTCATTATTTATATCACTGTTGTAGAATCGCTTTAGAAATATTATATTTTAAAACATTGTATATAGCTATAATAATTTTTGTTACCATTTTCTTGTACCATATACATGTATGATTGAATATGAGCAACCTCTGAATACGTATATCGAAATCTGCAAAATAACAAGCACTGAAGATAAGCAACTTCGAATTTTTGAACTACACGTACTAAACAATAATATTAAAGTAATAAGATTACTCAATACAACAAAAACTTATGTATTATTCAATTTACTTATCCATATCATTTCCCTGTTTTCAATGTCATTATACTCCAAATATTATCACTGACTCTTTAATTTCTTCATTTTCACTACAATTTATCGTAACTATATGCTTACTATCTGAATCAAGTTTTTTTTTTTGAAAGACATGCCAAGTAATTTATGATTGATTTTTGCTTATACAACAAGCATTGATTCACATACAAATATAATTCTATATATTTTAGATTTACTACCTTGATTTTGCTGGTATTACCACTTGCCATTCATATAATAATCTTGAAAGAACAATTAATAACAATATTAAATAAGTATCAAATTATCAAGAATATAACAAATTCAATATTATTTTTATAATATTATAAAGAATAAATTCGTTTTATCGATAATATAATTAAATTATCATATAACTATAACTAAATTAACATATTTAATTTTTTATAAACTAATAATTATATAAGATAAAAAAAATTTATTATTAGTAAATATAACTAGTTTTAAATACAAATTTTTTTAATATATGATTTAAATTTTATAAATAAAACTAAGTTTTTACTATAATCAAAATTTAGCTTTTATTTTATTAAGTAATTTAGAAAATTAGCTCTATTAGTTATATTATTTTAATATTAAAGTTATTAATAATCATATTATAATTTTTTTGTATAATAGAAATAATTTAATTATATATATAATTAATATTTTTTATAAGCTAACTTAAAAGTTAATAAATATAAAATTTTAATAACTTTTAACTTAATAATAAGCTTATAAGTAATTTAACTTATATAAAACTTGTTTTATATATTTATTTAATTCAAATATTTAAAATTTATATTAAATATTTAATTATAATATATAGTAACTAACAAAATTCTAAAATTATATATATAATTTGTTAATAAAATTGAAATTTATTTTATAAAATTTTTGATATAATTTTATCTAACATAAAGTTTAATTTTTATTAATAAACTTAATATATAATTTATAATTTTGTTAGTTATTATATATTTTTATAAAAAAATTAAGAAAAATTTTTAGAATAATAATTCAAAAATTTTATCAAAAAAATTATTTTTTTCTTAATATTTTTAGAAAAGTTTTTATTTAATTTAGTTTAGAAATAAATTTTTTAATTTTACAAAATTTTTATTTTTTAAAAAATATTTTAATAATTTAAAATTTTTATTATATTTTGAAATTATAATTTTAGTTAATTTTCAATATATTTTTTAAAAAAAATAGTACATATATTGTAATAATTAAGAAAATTATAAAATTAATATATAATTTAATAATAAAATATAATAAAAATTAAAATATTATCTTATATAAAGTTTTTGATTTTATATAAAATATATATTTGAACTTTGAATTAATATAAATAAAAATATTTATTAACAAAATTAAAAATTTTTATATAAAATAAAAATTTTATTTATAATAATTTATTAATAAAATTATATATATAATTTTATTATTTTATTATTTACTATAATATATATTATTTAATTACTATAATTATTATATTACTTATTAAATTTTTAATTATATATAATTAATATTAAATCAGATATTAATAGTTATTAATTACTCTAAATATTAAATTTGAAAGTAAAATATATAATATTCTTATATATTTTACTCAAAAATTAATTTTAATATTAGAATTATAAATTATATATAAAATTATCTTTTTGAAATATTTATTAGTATTTTGAGTCAAATTTAAGTATTTGTTTCTATATTTTATATTAAATTTTTTGTATTAACTTTGTTTTATCAAGTTAATTAAAATTATATATTTTTATTATTTAATCTAAAAAATTCAATATATAAATAATTAATTAATAATAATAATAATTTATATTAAATAGAATTATAACAAATATATAATCAAAAATTTTTTAATTATATATAAATTTATAAAAAATTCTTAATTTTTAAAATAATTAATAAATTATTAATTTATATATTTATATTTTTTATTATAAAAAGAAGCTTTGATAAAATTTAAAATTAATTAACTTATTTTTTGTAAAATAATTAAATAATATATATTATATATATTATAATATTAATATTGTCACAGGTTGATTGTGATTAGGCATAATCAACAATTTTGCCTATAACAATGAGTTGGGGGAAGTAATTAGACTGAGTAGTATTTGGACGTTTCTAATTTCTGTGTCAATATCTACGGATATTGTTCAGTATGATGGTAGAGAGGGGAGTTTAGTTGGGTCAGTTTGTAGATAAGATGTTTTTGGATTTAAGTTTTTACGTGACAGATTATTGATAATATTCTTCTTATTAACTTCCAATTATTGCTTTTTCTAGCTAAAAGTCTTAAACTGTTTAATCACAAAGCGCTTTTCAATCAATCAATCAATCAATCAATATGCTGTTTAATAATATCAACGCCTTTTCTGGATTAAAGGACCTAATCACAATCAATTACAACAATTTTACAAGTCTAATTTTACTTGGAGAAGAATTGTATGCAATTTAATTCTATATTTTTATTAATATTCACGAGGACTATTGTTGTATAATGACCTTTCGTTATAATATTTTATTGGATTATAAATATCTCATATATTATTGGATAAAGATTAT